GAAAATGGGGCCGGCTCTACTAAATATTAAAATAAAAAGAAATCCAGAAAAGACCCAAATACAAAACTGCCAGAGTTAGCATATGATAAAGGTGATCTCTCACATCTTTAGGGAATGGACAACATTTTTAATAAGTAGAATTTAGATAATCAAATAGCCATGTGGAAAAAAAATAAAATTAGATGGTTTTGTCACATCATACACAAATAAATTCCAAATGGATAAAGGTTAAATGTAAAAAACAAAACCATACAAGCTCTAGAAGAAAGTATGAGTAAATTCCTCTAGGATATAAGTGAGGGAAAATTCTCTATGACTTAAAATCCAGAAACAAATAGGAGAAACAAAAAATAAATTTAATCACATAAAACTTGAAGAAGAGAAACTAGTAACTCCTATGGCAAATGATACTATTTGCAAAATAAAAAAATAGGTGACAAACTAGGAAAAAATGTTGTAACAGATGAAATTTTATTATTATTAATATATAAAAAGTTTCCAAAAGATGAAAAAGCCCAAAAACTCTGTAGAACAAAAAATGGGCTAGAAAAGTAAACAGACAGTTCACAGAAAAAAGAAATGCAATTGGTGTTTCCACTTATATTAATAGTAAGAGAATTGCAAATCAAAGCTACAAAATTGTAAAAATTTGGCCACATACTCTGTTGACAAGGCCATGGCAAATAGGTCCTTCCACATAGTGCTCATGTGAGTTTAAAATGGTACAGCCCCATGGGGTAATTATGAAATCTCCACACAATTATAGATGCATTTACCTATTCTCCAGCATCCACACTTCTTGTGTGGCACCTTTGAAGACACCTTAGCAAGAACCTGAGAAGACCCATGCACAGGACAATTCATGCGAGCCCTTCTGCAATGGGAAGTACCAGGCTCCAGCAAGGCGCCTTTAGGATCTGCTTCCCGAGGGAGGCCAGGCGAAAAGGCCAGGCGTGGTGCACTGCCCGCTACTTAGTGAAAGGGTACATGAACATGCATGCATGTGGATCTGCTTATAAATAAAACAAAGGGAAGATAACCCAGGCAACTCTAGAAAATAGTTATAAGGGAGAAAAGGAATAGGATTTTTATTAATACAAATTTATGTTAAAGTTAAAAATTTCACCTTGCAAACCTAGTGCCTAAGGACAGGAAAGTTGAGGGTGGGGGTGTGGGGAGAAAATCCTAAAGCTGCTTTCACCAATCGTGTTGTTAGTGGAGCTTTGGTGTCTATTCTGATTGTTGATTCATGATGGGATAAAGCAAATGAGAAATCCTGTAATTTTCTAATTCTGTCATTCCCACTGTCCTTAAAAAGTGAGAAAAAGGGAGAAAGGAGGTACATATCTGAGTTCAAAAAGTTAAAATTCTGTAGTCTTAATTTGAATTTAAAGTGTAAGTATAAAAAACCATGTTGGTTTTTTTTAATAAAAAAATATTTGTCTAAGTCTCTCTACCAAGAAAAGGCCTAAAAACAACCCAGAAGCAATGTATACCCTTAGCACCTAGATTCTGGTCTATAAATACCATTTTTCAACAAAAAGAACCAGGAATCATTGCGATTCCTGATTTGAGGTCTCTCATGGAAAGTGTGCAAGATGAACCTGGAACATTTCTTAAGCAAGGGAGCCATTATGACTGCTAGAATCATCAAAGGACTCAAAAGCCAGTTTGAAGAGGCTCACATTGCTCAAAAATGGGGTAACTTGACATCAAATCAAGAATAGAAACTGTAGTGAATTGAACTTATGAAATACATCTAAAGCCATGAGCTTGTGACAACACCCACAATGTAATTCATCAGTGTTGGTGGACACACAGGAACCAACTTTTTGAAAGCTGGTAAAAGCCTGCCTTCCCCATACAAAATGCACCCCTGGGAAACCACATAACAGGAGAGGGGATATTTCTCTTTGTAGAGGAATTCCAGCTAATGAATGAGGGCCAAACAATACAGTTAGAGCCTGACCATTTTTGCAATTTCTAATGAAGTAATGAATCTAGGCCATTGCTCATTAACATTGGCCAACTGCTAAAAAAGAGAAGGAGAAAGAGAAGCAATTAGACATCATGTGTCTCCTAATGGCAAAACACAATCCTGCATGAGGGAACCTACCCCAAACAGTCCAATCTTAATCTGATGAAGCATTTTTTGCCAACCAGCAGTTTACAATGAGAACATATTAAATACCAGTCTCAAGACTCTGAGAATTTTATAGCCCAAAGAACCAACTTGCTCAACAAATATGTTGCAAAGAAACCAAAATGAGCTAGAGGAGATACCTATAGATTGGAAGAGCCATGAGAAGAAAAGTGGTTAATATAATTCACCATGTTAACAGACTAAAACAAAACCATGATCATCTCAATAGATGCAGAAAAAGCATTTGATAACATTCAACATTCATTCATCCAAAACAAAACAGAACAAAACCAAACCTCTCAGCAAGCTAGGAATAGAAGAGAGCTTCCCTAAACTACTGAAGGATATCTATTGAAAACTCTTCACTTAATCTCATACTTTATGGCAAGATATTGAAAATTTTTTTAAGTTAAGGAACAGGCAAGGATGTCCTCTTAGGCCACTCCTATTGAATATCATATTGGAAGTCCTACCCAGAGCAATAGGCAAGAAAAAGAAATAAAAAAACATGGATTTGAAGAAGAAATAAACCTGTCTATTGGCAGTGACATAGTTTATGCAGAAAAACCCAAATAATTTACCAAAATAAAGGCTTCTAGAACTAATAAGTGAATTTAGCAAGTTTGCAGGATACAAGTCAATATAAAAAAGTAAATTGTGTTCCTATAGACCATCAATGAACAATTGAAATTTAAAAATTTAGAAAGGAATACCATTTGCAATAGCACCAAAGAAGTACATAGACATAAATCTAAGAAAACTTGTGCAGAATCTATATGCTGAGAACCACAAAAAACTGATGAAAGAAATCAAAAGAAAATCTAAATAAATGGAGAGATACACTTGTACATTGATTGGAGGACTAAATATTATTAAAGTGTCAATTCTTTCCAATTTGATCTGTAGGTTCAATGCAATCACAAACAAAATCCTGCAAGCTTTTTTATAGACATTGACAAACTGATTCTAAAATTTATATGGAAAGCAAAGAAACTGGAATAACCAAAAACACTCTGAAGAAGGACTGAGGCGATCTGACTTTGAGATGTACCTAAAGCTGCAGAAACCCAGACAGTGTGGGGTTTAGGGACAGCCTAGACACATAGATCAGTGGAATGGCATGGAGAGCCCAGAAATAGACACATAAGCTCAGCTCATTTTCTGGCAAAGGCTCAAAGACAATCCAATGGAGAAAGGATAGTCTTTTTAAAAAATGGTGCTGGGGAAATGGTGCTAGATGTTGATGTGCAAAAAAAAAAAAAAAAAAAGAAAAGAAAAGAAAAGAAAAATGGACCTCAACATATACTTCACATCATATATGAAAATTTCCTCCCAGGGATTTCAGAAAGCCTAGTTCCATTAAAAATGTTTTGCCAAGTGAAACACCTGGGCCTGTAAGGATGCTAACTTTAAATATCTTCTTACAGAGACATTTCCATGCACATCCTCATGCTGCTTGTGCTTTTGTGTGCAATATATGGGAGATTTTCCCAAGATGAATATCCTCTCAATCAAGCTATCCGGAAGGAATTTACAAGGTAGGAGGCTTGGGGAGCCCCTCTGGTTCTTACGCTAGTCCATGGCCAGTGTGCACCCAAGGGGAAGCCCTGTGCTTAGGGTTATGAGACAGTTTACTTTGCTTCATTACTTGAAGCAAGCCAAGTCATGTTCCTGTCTTCTAGCATCAGACAGAGTGTCGGAGGAGGGACCCTACAGACCCTCTAATCTAGTCCCTCATTCCCTTTACCGCTGCATGATTGAGGCCCAAAGAGCGGTCTTTGCCATGCCCCACATAGGAAAGATGGGGAAGGTTGTCAAATTTGCTTATGGACACTATTTCCCAGTGTTAGTAAGAGGCCTCCATTGGGAGACTTTGGGCACATTCCTAGCATGTCATTTTAGTTAAATAAAGAAACAAGGATATTTCAAGGCAATTTGGGTTCTTTTCCAAAACAAGGTCTTGTAGTTTCTTTTTTTTGCTGAAGACACCTGAGTTCTTTAATCAAAGGCTATGGTTGTAATTAATAATAAATGACAATGATTTTAAACAGTTTGTAACACCCCCTCAGGTTCTCTGCAATTTCACGAGTGCTCATGTACTTCTTTTTACTGCTAAAAGTAGTAGACATTCATCGTAGGCAAACATGAAAGAACTGAGAACTATAAAGCAGAAAAATTTCCATGATACCACCAGGCAGAGGCAACCATGATGGCATTTTGTTGTGTTATATTTCTTTTCCATGTCTGAAGGCTTCTAAAATTAGGCTGCATATTGTCATCAATGAGTACATTTAATGTAGCATGTATTTTTCTATTGAAAGTTGTTAAATCCGTGGTCAGATTTTATTTTCACCTTCCCCAAACTGTCCATCTAATAGTTCTTTCAAGCCAGTTTGGCTTTGAATTCTGAAGTATGTGTTATGAAATGGTATTGGTTCTTCACAACAGTTTCAGTGACAGGAAATGGTATTGGTTCTTCACAATAGTTTCAGTGACAGGAAATAAAATGATTCTGTGTGTTCCAGGGTTTGCTTTTTTTTCCTTTGGAGAATAAAGACACATTCCTATGAAATGTGTTCCCTTTGTCTAAGTACTTCAAATTGATGTAAATGTTTTCTGTTTAATTTTTTGAGGGGTCAGGGGTGAGTGGCTAGAAAGTCCGTTTAATTGTACGTATTATTTCAGGACATATTTGTACCTTCTGTGAGGGTTATTGCTACCTAGCCAGATAACGAATATTGTCCCCTTTGTCACTTTTATGACTCACTAATAAGGTAAGACCCAGAAGTCCAGTGCAATGAGTCTGCACTCCCTGGAGCACAGTAATACAATTCTTTACTTCTGAGCATTCTAATGGTCAAATTAAGTAGAATTTTCTGTCACCCTGTTTGCAAAACCAGCAGTTATTTCCATTAGTGACCAACTTTTCCACTCTCCCATCTGTGCAGATGCACAGTTAGTGCCAGTAGGTGGCGCTGTGTGCAAAACGAAGCAACAATTTGGGTCCTTTGGAAATGGAAATCAACACAAGAAACTTCTGGTTTTTGCTATTTATTTTTAGCTCACATTTCATAAGTCAGCATTATCTGGCATATTTCTCATATGAATTGTTGCCTCTTGATATTCAAATCAGAAATATCACAGCTGAGATAATATTTGTGGGATATCTCACATGCACATGAGACTGAAGTGCTAGGATTAAGGACTCAGATGTTGCCTCTCTGTGGGTTTGCACAGACCTTATGTTTCCCACAAGGATGCAAAACCTCCCTGCCTCTGCATGCTCTGGCCACCAGGCAGGGATATTTGTGTGTCCCGGTTGGTAATGGAATGTTCAAGGTAGACCTTCTCCACCTCCCTCCTCACCCCACCTACCCGGTACCTAATCCTGAAATGTCAACAACTCCTGACAGTTTGGCTTTGGCCGGCATTCCAGATAGAGGAACTGAAGCTAGGAGGGGAAGTGGATTAAAGAGAACCCAGAGACTGGGCTTCTAGCTCTCATTTGGTCACCAGCTGACTGAGGCAAGTCCTTGGACTCTGGCTCTGGGTGTCTTTGTCTGTAAAGTGAGGGAGGTGGCTGGATTTTTTATGTCTTAACAAAAAATTCTCACGTTACTGGATTCTCTCCTAGTTAAGTTGTAATTGAAGTGTTTCTGAACTCAATAAAGTCTTCATGAAATTCTGAATAAAACAGAACAAAATAAAAATAGCCACCAAATGAAGCACCAATAAAAGAAACAGGCACTCTATCCAGGTGCCATAAATGGAAAATAACTGCTGATTTTATCTTTTTAGCAAGCTTTGTAGGCCTAGTCTACATAATTGCTGTAATTAATACAGACAGGGCCAGAATCTTGTTGGATTGTTCGGTTAAGTACCTGCACTCCAAGGTGCCAGGAACGAGGCATGAGATCTATGCAGCCTGGTGTGGGGTGTTTCGGCTCTGAGTCCCATGCAGGGCTTTCCTGACTTAGTTTCTTAAAGTCATCCAATAGCAGAGCATTATCAGGAAGCGATAACATTTCCCAAAAGTTGTACAAACTCAACATGGCTATAAAGTATCACTTTATTTTTTAAAAACACAGAATATGGAGCATATTAGTCTATACGTGTACAGTCAGTCTATCTGCCTCCCAGAGCAGATGGCTAACACTTTTCTCTGCTGAAAATTAACCCCTGTCCCTTATGTCTGTGCCCGCCCTCCCTCGCTTCCACTGCCTCTCTGCTCATTCAGTTCCTGCCTGCGAGTGGTTTGAATATCTGCAGGGATGTCTGCTTACTTTCTGCCTCCCATCTCTGCCTCCAACGTATTCTCCTTTCCCGGTGCCTCTCTGTGTCTTCATTCCGCCCTCCGGGTGCTTTGGCAGGTCTCCAACTCGCTCTGCGTTTGGCGTGTGGTTTGGCCAAGTTTTCAGAGAAGTACAGAGTTGAGAACCAGGCTGTGTAGATTAAGTTCTAAAAGTGTATAAACCAATGAAGATCAAATACTTGAATGGATGGGAGATCATTTCTGTGTAAGAAAAAGGAAATAAAACCAGTCAGACAAATTAGTTCACTAGACTTTTTGTCTCACAAGCTGTAGAAATTTTTCAGCATATTTATAGTCTGTATAAATTGTTGGTTGAGGCTATTTACATCTCTCTGTTTATATATTACTGATTTTTTTGGTCCTTGATTTTCTTTTATATTGTTTAATTTTTTGTCACAACTGTCAGGTTTTAAAAAACTTTTTCTAATTTATCTCCAAAATCTGCCCTTAGTCAACAGTGGAGTATCTGCTCCACAGCCTTGCCTGAGAGCAGTCTCTGGAGTATGCTGGTGAACAGTGAACAACTGGCTCTCTGAAGAACAAAAGCACTGATTTATTGCACTTGCCTGCCAATTTCTGTGGTGTAAATGCTCCCACCAGGGCTGTTTCCTACTAGGACAGTGACATCACTGAATGTGGAGTTGAGAAGAGGCGCACGATTGGCTGTCATGGTGAGAGCCGGCTCCAGGCCCACTGCCTGCAGCCCAACTTTGCTCTCAAGTCTTGTTTATCAAAGCCACGGCCATCATTTGAAGAGCTCATAGTCAGTTTATTCCTTGGAGGAGTCTGCATTTGGTTGCTGACCCTGGCAGGGTGATTAAATTTAGATGATTTGAGTTGATATCCTTTACTATCTTCTTACCACTTTCCAACTAAATCACTTTCCCTGAGAAGTCCCTTGGTCTCGCCTTTCATGAAGAGAGACCCAGATGGAAAAGCCACGTCAGACCCGTGTCTGCCTGCTGTGGGCATGTTGATGAGCACAGCCTCCTGCCCGTATCCAGTGTCCCTTCGTGGGAAGCCATGTGTGGGAAAGTTCTCAGAGTTAGTTGAGAGTTACTGAGGAACATTCGATTTTTTTTCCTTTTCCCTTTGGCTGCAGCCCAGAGCCAGATGTATGTGCCTGGTGCCACCACGTGCAGCTCTGGCCTATGAGAGTGGCCCAGTGGCATCCTCTGAGCAAGCTAAAAATGATAAAGTTTGTTCATTTGACATTATTTCAATTCTCCCTTAAATCAGTTCCTTGGTGGAAAAGTGAGGCATATCTAATAGACGTAAGAAAGAGGTCACTTGGAAGGGAACGGACTAGCCTGTGTGCCAGCACTGCACGTCGCCCATGCCTTCACGCTGCCACTTGGAGGCGTCCTGGGAGGCAGCAGTCTGTGTAGACAAGAGGACTGGAGCTGGCCAGGGTGTCCCTGCGCCTCCCTAGTCCACCCCTGGCCCCCGTGCTCCCTCTGCACCAGCCATGCGGCCTCCACACCTTCCTACCCTCTGGGCCGTGGAAGCGCTTGCACCCCTCTGCCCGGAACCTCCCCACTAGGTGGCCTCGCAGCTCCTCCCTCATGGCCTTGGGGTCCTAGCTGACACCTCCCGTCCTGCTGCAGTCTTCCGCCACCACCCTAACCACCACTTCTGTCTCTCCTGCTTCATCTTGTGTCCGTAATATTTATGACTAACGTAGTGTATGTTTGCTTATCTCTTTGTTATCTGTTTCCCCATATGAGGGCTGGGATTAGACTTCTGTTTCCCTGTGCCCAGAAGAGTGCCAGGCACCTCGTAGTTGCGTGTAACGTTGAGTGAACGAGTGAGCGAATGAACCAGTGCTTTGCCCACCGTTCTCTCCTCTCGCCTGCTCCTGAGGAGCAGGGCTCCAGGGCTTTGTGCCTCACGCTGCAGATGGCTTCAGTTTAATTCCTGCAGGGCACCTGAAATTTGGATGAGAGAAAGTTTGGCAGGAAAAAGGCTTTTGTTCTTTTGATTGTTCTCGTTGATGCAGAAACAACTCTTTGTTTCTGTTCTTGCATTCAGAAATGCCAGAAACTCCTTGGGAGGCTTGAGAAGCGTGGCCGACTGGTGGGACTGGAGCCTGACCGCGCTGCTGGACGGCCTGTACCCGGGCGGCGCCTCGGCGGCCAGCAAGCCGGGGACCCAGGTGGGCTTCCACTCCCTCTTCACGGGAGATCACCTCGGAAAAGCCACATTACAGCGGGTGACACAGGCGCTGATGCGTGGACTCCAACGCTACGTGGGTTCCTGGGTGTCCACGGAGACTGTAAGGCCAGCGGGTCTCCACCGCGGGTGCCCGTGGCCAGCAGAGTGCCCCGTTCCTTCCCCTGCAGAGCCCTTGCGCCTGTCCCAGCACACCCGCAGCCACACGGCTCCCCAGCTTCCTTCACGCCCCAGGCCCCGCTAGACACGGGGCTGTGGCAGAGCCGCAGGAGCCGGGCTGGTGGGGTGCAGCTGAGGAAATGGAAGATTCTGGCTCGGTGCATGAACACCATGACAAAGGGATGCATGGAGCCCAGAACAGGGGAGGAGCAAACAGCAAGCTGGGAGCCTCAAGGGAGGGCGAGGCCAGCCCCAAGTTCTGAAGAAAAAGTGATTATGCATTTTGCGTAATCCCATTTCTTGATCGCTTTTATTTTCAGCCCCCTCTCCATGTTTTAAAATGAAATATCTTCATTCTGAATTCCTCAAACTTTATTTCTCATTTATTTTGTTGTATTCTGTGTAGTCTCCTGGGTTGATAGCACTGGAAAAACTTTAGAAAAAAATAAAAAGGGATCATTCTTGTGAGATGCAGATTCTGACAGCATCACCAGCACGCCAGCCCTCTTCCAGGACAAGACTGGGCTCTGGCTGCTGGCTGCCCTAGAACCCGGTGCACCCTCAGAATGGTGTTAGGAGGCAGGTACAATTCTGTCCTCTTACGGAGCAGGCGAAGTCCTCCAGAGCATACCCACGGCTCTGTGGCCCTGCTTGGTACGATGTCTGAAGTCTACTGTTCGCCCAGTCCTCTTTCTCTGTTCTCTTCTTTTAGCCTGGAGCCCTTCGAGGAAAATGCTACCTAATAGGCAGTTCAGTAATTAAGCAGCTAAAAGTGTCTCCTAGCAGTTTATGCAAGGTAAGAAATTCTTTTTCTTCTTGCTTCTAAAAAGAAATAGAATTAGAAAAGTCTAGGCGACAGTGGGCAGGACATCTGTGACCATGGTAACTCTCTGAGAGTCCGGCTGGCGATTGGGGTTGCCAGGGCCCAGGGTGGGGAGAGAGCGAGCCTTGCCTCTCCCCTCCCCCTCACCAGCCCTTTCCAAAGCCTCTTCCTTCCTGGGCATTGTGCCATAGGTTTACTTGGGTCATTGTTCGGCTTTAGAGACTGGTATTCCAGGCGAAACCAGGATTTTTACTCTAAAAATGGAATATTCACATATCCTTTTCTAATGGGGGAAGGGGTGCCCTAAGATGGGCACTTTGCCTGTGCCATCCCATAATGGGGAAATCCTCAAAGGGCCCAAGCCCTAGACCAGCAGGCGCCTCAGGTGCCAGTCTTCAGTGGGTAGAACCTTGCTCCCTCTAGCCTGAGCTAGAGCCCAGGACTACGAAACAGGCTGCAGAGTGCTCCCTTGAGGGGAGCAGGGTGCCACGTTGCAGGGTCGGGCGTGTGCCTGTGTGCAGCAGGCGTGGTGACCCCAGAGGGCAGGGTGGCCTTGGGAACACGATCTGCCGTCTTCTGATTGGTGTTTTCTTCCACAGCCTCCCAGGGCGTTTTCGGTCCTCATCAAAGACTCTCTTCCTACATGTAGCCCTGAAGCTGGAGGCCCTGAGAGCCCCTACCTGACAGACCCGGAGAAACCAAACATGACCCTGGGTGGTCCTGGGGGCTGTGGGGCAAGGGAGGCGTGTGTGCTCAGCCTGGGCAGAAGCAGGTCAGTGTGACTCGGGCCAGCGTCCATCCCAGCATGCTGGTCACCGCGCTGGCTGGGGCGCTGGCTGGACCTGGCATGTCTGCAGCAGTGCAGCCGCCTGACAGGCCTGAGAGGCGGGCACTTCACTGCCAGGGGCGCGAGCACCGCTCATCATTGTTGTGAATGACAGAAGCACGCGTTAGGGGGTGACAGAACCACAAGTTAGGGAGTGACAGAACACAGACTCAGGGATTAAATACTATGATGTGTAATTTTTAAAAACTCTCTGCTAGAACATGTGGAGGTCATGGGACAAGATGTACGCTTGTCTTGTGCTGACTCCCTGGCTGGCAGGGAGTTTACGTGGCCTCCTTCGCTGCTCGCCCAGCTGCGTGGAGCGGGTCTGGCGCCACTTGGCATATGGTGCAGGTGAGGACTGGAGTGTCACGCGCATGACAGGCCTGACCCCACGGTGCTGCCAGGCCCTGGGTCAGGCGGCCCCCCAGCCAGGCGCACTGTCGCCCGCACGCAGCCCCGGCTCCCTGATGGCGCACGCCCTCGCACGGCACTGGGGCTGTGCTCATGCCGGGTGTCTTACCCAGTGGGAGCTCTGGCAGGAACAGTCATATGTGCTTTTGAGGAATACAGGAATAAAAAAAGGAGAAAATGATATAATTGTTACTTAATACAGATTAGTAAAAAAGAGTTTCTTTTAAACAATGGGGTCTATTCCGCAAAAAGAAGTATGAATATCTGGAGTCCCTGGGAAGAGATGTTAGCACCTCTGCTCCACATCGTGTGGGTGGGCAACAGGAGCCCCTGTGCTCCAGGTCCCTCCTGCCTGTGGGTCCTCTGGGCAGGGGAGAGGGTGGGTCGGGAAAAGGCAGAGTCTACTGAGGAGTCCCTGAGACAGAGGTGGCCATCTGTAGCCCCTGGAAGCCCAGGCGCTGTTTGTTCTTGCATAAGGTGCTCCCGGCATGGGGCCTGCAGTGGGTGCCTCCTGGGACATCTGAGTCTCCCTCCCCACCCGCCCCCAACTGCGCTGCTTTGCAGGTCCGAAGCCCACGCGGCCCTGGCAGGACTCAGGGCCAGCAGGTGGATTGACCACAGCACCAGGGCCGTGTCCGTGCACTTCACCCTCTACAACCCTCCAACCCAGCTCTTCACCAGCGTGTCCTTGAGTGTGGAGATCCTCCCCACGGGGGGTCTGGTCCCTTCATCCCTGGTGGAGTCATTCAGCATCTTCCGTGGTGACTCAGCCCTGCAGCACCACCTCATGCTTCCCGAGGTGAGTCCATCTGCCACTCGGACCCTGGAGCATGACAGTGAGACGGGGCCGTGCTGAGCTGGGCCTCTCCCCCACATGGGCCCAGCACCTCGCCCACTCGCCACCTCCATCCCCACTCTCCTCATGTCCCCAGCGTGCTGCAGGTGTCACGCTAGGTTTGGGGGCACGAGACAAAGAAAGCCTCCAGTGGGGAGACCAGTCGTCATATATGTGGCAAATGCAAATACAGAGCTGTCATCGTGTACCAAATTCATCATAGGACTAGGCCTGACATCTAGCTCTCCCAAGGTTGTAGCTCAGGCTGCGTAACAGAACACCACAGGCTGGGCGGCTTAGACAAGAGACATTTATTTCCCAAGATCCTGGAGGCTGGAAGTCCATGATCAAGGTCCCCACATGGTCAGGCTCTGGTGAGGGCTGTCCTGGCTGGTAACAGCTGCTTTCTCACCGTGTGCTCACTCGCCCTCTTCTCTGTGGGTTCACGCTGCGGGGTGGGGGGAGGGTGCGAGCGTTCTCTGGCTCTTAGTGTAGGGACACCAATCGTCCAGGGCCAGGGCCCCAATCTTAAGGCCTCACTTAACCTTGATTATGTCCTTCAAGGCCCTATCTCCAAATCCATCCACACTGGAGGTTAGGGCTTCAACCTGTGAGTTTGGGAACACAAACGTTCAATCCGTGGCACCAGGGGTCTTGGTGAGATGGATGGAATATGCTCACATAGCTTCACTGAACAATCAAAAACACCAGAAGTCACTCTGAGCTTTTCCTTGGGAACATTGCCCATTTTTTTGCCTGTAGTGAACTTTTCTGCTATGAAGAACTAAGTCCTGCTGGCACCTCATGGCAAGCTTGCTTTGGCTGAGCAGTGAAGAGGGGAGAATCCCAAGAGGGTCAGGACTCTGGGGAGTGTCAGTGCCACAGTAACGGCTGAGCCTGTGAATCGAGCCCGGCGCCACACTTGGCGGAACTCAGGGCAGAAGAACTGGCCCAGCAGGGCTGGCCAGGGAGGGGCAGGGGAGGTTTTCCCCCTTGGCACCAAAAAACTTGGTAATCAAAGTTAACAGTATTCTGGTACAGTATTTTTAAACATCATAATTCATACAAGAAGTCATAACGGACAAAAGGTCATTATGTCCATATTTTGG